AGAGAGAGAGAGAGAGAGAGAGAGAAGCACTTTGTGTAACTAACACAACCTGTATGCTTGGAGGATTCTCCCAAGCATGTTGACCTATTCTGCTTTCAGTAGGCACTGTGACTGCCACAGGAAAATCTCAAGTTCCATAGCTTTAAATCCCACCTATTTTATCTCTAGCCCTGATCTCTACCCCAAAGTGCTGAGATGAACATACAACTTCCCAATAGACCTGTCAAACCAACATGACCAAGACTGAGCGCCAATCTCCAGCATAACTGCTCCTTCTCTTTTCTTCACCTTGGCAAATGGCATTATTAGTTTTGAACAGCACTGGTCAGGTATTTGTAAAAGGTTCCATGCTTATTTTATTTTATTTTATTTTATTTTATTTTATTTTATTTTGCAGTAGAGGTCAATGCAATGGGAAACCAACAAACAGGAACCTGAAAACACATTGAAAATTCTGTTAGAACTTACCTGCTATAGGTGCCTATATAAATGAATTTCTGATCCCACAATCAGGAGATTGCAGGGACTAAGAGGTCAGGAGAGCAGAGGTGAAGCAGCTCTTTTCCAGAAGCCCCTAGGAGATTTTCCATCAAGTCTCATTGGTCATAACTCTACAACATGGCTGCAGAAATGGAACCACCACATGCAGCTTAGACTAATGAAGATCCACTTTGATTTAAATGGGAATAGGTCCTATTCCCTGAGTCATGGATGCCAGGAGGGAGTTGAGGGGAGTCAGGAATGGGGACACGGTAGCAAATGGGTTTGGTAGATAGCAAACAGTGTTGTTATAGAGTCTATTTATATATTATGTGTATCAGTAAAGTTCAAATGGGTCATGGCCTCCTAGGAGAATAGCATATCAGAAGCATGCTCCTTACCAATACATGCTGGTATAGATAAATGAATTGTGATATATCACACAGTGAAACACTACTGGGCACTAAAAATGAATGGACTGCTGCTACATGCAACATCTGGATGAATCTCAAGGCATTATGCCAAGCAAAAGAAGCTTGAAAAATGACTGTGTACTGTGTAATTTTATTTATATAACATCCTAGAGAAGGGAAAACCATGGAGACAGCAAACAGATCAGTGGTGGCTGAGAGCTGAGGATAGAGGGATGTGACTAGATACAAAGGGGAATGAGAGAACTTTTTGGGATGATGAAAATGTTCTACAGATTAAAGGGAACACTACTCTTGGGTTTTGGGTGATAGAGTGAAAAGGGACCAAAGGACATTGCAGGAAAGTTTACTTTGAGCGTAGGGTACAATTCTGTTGTCTTTAGAAACAGGGTCATTTGCTCAGAATTTGGCTTGGGCAAAAGGCATACATTTCATTTCTATGTTCTTCAGATTTTCAGTGAGGAGTTGGCAAACACAAGGCTCTGAAAAGGGCTGACAACACCCTTTCAGCTGAGCTCTGGATCTTAAATACCTGCAAAAGGCCTTAAATTAATAAAAATATGGTTCTCCTTAAGAAGAAAACGGTGCCAAGCTGATGTGGCTCAGTGGTTGAGCGTCAACCCATACACCAAGAGGCTGCCAGTTTGATTCCCAGTCAGGACACATGCCGAGGTTTTGGGCTCCATCCCCAGTGAGGAGCATGCATGAAGCAGCCAATCAATGTTCTCTCATCGAAGTTTAGAAAGTTTTGCCATTTTGAGGGTTATGTGTTCAATTTCAGTGTTCTTATTTGGTGGGGCTGCCTGTGGTCATATATGTCTGGGACTTTTGATAGAATCTATAACCGACAGATTTTGCCTCAATGAAGGATCCAACTTGTTGAAGCACATCCCTAACTACTTACCATGGTCCTAACCTAATATGCCTGTAACTGATTATGAAAAACTGTGGGGAGCCCAGCATCTAGCAGGAGGGGGCGGGGCAGGGGTGAGGAACAGATATGTATGGTTGAGGGCACCTGTCCAGCACTTCAAGTCACATCACACAAGCTGCTCTGACCACAAGATCCTGGAGGGTGGGGTCTGAAATAGTGCCGAGGAGGTGATCTGATGAAGTTTGGCCCAAACAATTGGTGTGGAGAGAATCGCATGGTTATTTGGGGGACTGGTTTTTAAAAACTTGTTATTGTTGATGTAAATTTGCCTCCATATGCATTAATTATACATATCCATATCCCTGATTCCTGATTAGTAAGCACTGGGACTTTGTAAATATGCATTCCACTCTGACATAACATCTCTCCTGATTTTCAAAGCATTACCATTCCAGCACCACGCTATAAACACAACCATTCCCAGAAGCATGATTTTCAAAGCTGCAGATCAAGTGCTAAACTGTCATCATACTGAAAAGGAAAAAAACCCACTTTATGTTGTAATCAGCTTGCCTGCCATAGACCCCTCCTGAGGAGATTATGCAATTAGCAGTAACAAATGCTGGGCACTATATGAAGTAAGCATCTCCTATGTCGTGGGTTGGTCACAAATATTTGGAGGAGGTCATCAAGAGGACCCCCGGATGACCTCCACCCTCCCATGGACCCAGGCAATCAGAGGCCCCTTCCCCCTCCCCCTGTCCTTGGACTGTACTTCAGCCCACTGTTCCCAGTGTTCCAAGAACACAGCCTTGAGAGAGTAAGGTATTGTTGAGACCACCTGGATGGTATGTATATGTGACTGAAGCCAGTTAAGGACTTCATGTACACTTTTAAGATTCTGGTGGATGGGTGTGGAGATCTACCTGTCTTGCAGCTGCCCAAGACAAGCCTCATATGTAAGTTCCGTTGCTTGTTAGACCTGTACCTACCAATCTGGAGTGGTCTGCCTCTTTCTTCGGTCTCTCTTTGCCCTCCATGTATGGGGGCCAGTTTGGGAACCAACATAACTTTTTGTTCCGAAGCAGATTTCTGGGTCCCATCACTAGAAATTTCAAGTCAACAGGTCTGAGATGGGGTTCAAGAATCTGTATTGCTAAGTTTTAATAAGTACCCCACATGATATAGATGCCACCCTTAAAGAAAGACCCTTTTCTAAAATATCTAACCAGGAACATTTTTTTTTTCAGGATTTAATGGGAGGCAAAATTGATCTATTGCTTGTAGGCTTTCTTAGTGGACAGAGCTAGGATGGATATATATATATATATATTCTATTTGTCTATCTAAATTAGAAATAATTTCATACCATCATTTATAATTTCAAGCTACACCACTGGGTTTATTCTACTCCTTCCCCTTCCTATATCTGTAATTCCCTTTTCCAACTATGTGGAACCTTCCTCCCAATATCTTTGATATATTTGCTTATTTGCTCAGTTTCCCATTATGTAAACCAATTTGTTGGCCATGTCAGCAAAATGTGTGGCCTATCTTTATGAAGTTATGTTTCTCATTTTATATTTATACAAAAATTATATTTATAAAATCACATGTCAGAAATGTATGTACATATGTGTGTATAATATGTGTAATCAAATATATTTTATGAAATAAAATATTTTCCATATATATAAGAAATTATGTAACATATATTAGAAAACCAATATAATACATAAAATATATCAATATAAGAAAAAATATATATCTGATTTCATGTTTTCCCCAGCTTTATTAAGATATTTTTAATATATAGCATGAAGTTTAAGGTATACTATGTGATGATTTGATAGATATATTGCAAAACTGATTACAATAAGGTTAGTTAACACTTCATCCCCTCACAATTACCTTATTTGTGTGTGTGTATAACATTTAAATTCTACTCTTCATCCATTTCTAGTGCTTAGCAGAAGGTCTAACAGGGCAGGCATTAATTATTGTCTATTGGATGAAAGAACTAATACATCCCTTAATCAATATAGAACGGTGGGAGATGTATGTAGGAAAGGAGACCTTAAATTTCAACCTCTGGACCCACATGGATGAAGACAGTCCAAGTCACCCATCCTTAGAAGCCTTTAGGTACTTTATTTCAAGTGTCCCCCCAATACAATTCAAGAATAAATCTTTAATTTATTATTGATATTGATAATATTGATATCAAACACCAATCCTCTGGTTACCAGTTAGCACCAACAATCTTATTTCTGCATGCAATTTCCTGGATCTTGAACTAAACGTCACATTTCAGAGTTCCCACATTACAGAATGTCATCAATTCGAGGTACCCTTTCTAATTTTCTGTCTTCAACGTTTTTCTTCTTTCCCCAAGAATATCTGCAGAGCTGCTAAATGTTCTCGAAAGTTCTTTTGTGGTGTTTCCGATAAGAATAATCACAAAGACTCCAAGCACAGCATGTGGTGTGAATGTTGAATCAATAGAAATGACGAGGTTGGTAACCATATCCCAGAGGATGGCGGCGGCCCGTTTTAATTTAGAGGGCGCCAGCTCCCCACGTCAGCGAGAGACGCAAAGGCTCTCGAGTGAACCGCTCCGGACCCGGATCCCCGAGGCAGACCTGACGCCACTGAAGTTTCCAGCCGCGCCCAGCTCTGCGTCGCTGAACCAACCTGCCAGTTTCCTCGGCGGCAGCTGAAGTGCCGGCAATTTCTAGGTTTTTCTCTTCCTCCGGCAAATGGTCCCGTGCACCTCCCGCGCGCTGGGAGCAGGTGAGCCGGAGGGGCGTGGCCTCAGGACGCGCTCAGGTGCTCGGCCCG